TGTGTTTTTTTGTTTTGTTTTTTTTATTGTGGTTTTTAAGTGTATTTTTTTATTTTGTTTTATTTAATTGTGGTTTTTAAGTGTGTGTTTTTTTTTATTTTGTTTTATTTAATTGGGTTTTTAAGTGTGTGTTTTTTAATGTGTGTGTATTTAATTGTGGTTTTTATTTGATTGGGTTTTTAGGTGTGTATTTAATTGTGGTTTATTTAATTGTTTTTTTAAGTGTGTATTTAATTGTGTTTTTTATTTTGTTTTATTTAATTGGGTTTTTGATTGTGTTTTTGAGTGTGTATTTGATTGTGTTTCTATTTCATTATCGTTTTTAATGTTTTATTTAATTGTGTTTTTAATCGTTTTTAATATGTCTTATCTAATTGTGTTTTTTAAGTGTAAGTTTAAGTATTTTTGATTGTGTTTTTTTATTATTGTTTTATTTAAATGTGTTTTTAATCGTATTTAATATGTTTTATTTAATTGCGTTTTTGATCGTTTTTAATATGTTTTATTTAATTGTTTTTTCACTGTGTTTTTAATTATGTTTTTTATATATATTTTTTATTTAATTGTGTTTTTTTATATATATATTTTTATTTAATTGTGTTTTCAATCGTTTTTTATATGTTTTATTTGATTTTATTTTTATTCGTTTTTAATATGTTTTATTTAATTGTGGTTTTTTATTCTGTTTTATTTAATTGTTTTTTTTTTATTCTGTTTTATTTAATTGTGTTTGATTTAATTGGGTATTTGATTATGTTTTATCTAATTGTGTTTTTAATAATGTTTTATTTAATTGTGTTTTCGATTATATTTTATTTAATTATGTTGATCTGATTGTGTTTTTAATTGTATTTAATCAGTTCTGTTCTACTTGCATCTAGTTTAATTATGTTTATTTAATTGTGTGTTTTAATTACATTTATTTAATTATATCTATTTCATTGTATTCTTTTAATTACATAATTAATTATATTTCCAAAAACTAATATATTATATATCTAATTATGTTTAAGAAAAATAATAACTTCATCATATTTATCTAATTAATTATAATCCTTTTAATTATGTTTATCTAATTATATTATTTTTTTCCTAATTATATTTAAAATGATTAGATAAAAATATAGTTTTTTTTAATAGATTAATAGAGAAAAATATAATTGGTACTCGATCAATAGAGAAAATAAATTAACATACTCGATCAATAGAGAAAAAAAGAATACTAGATAAATAGAGAAAATAGAAGAGATAATCAATCAATAGAAAAAAATAAAAAAAATATACTCGATCAATAGAGAAAAAGATTAAAAAAAAAGATACTCGATCAATAGAAAAATAGAAAAGATACTCGATCAATAGAGAAAAAGATTTAAAAAAAAAGATACTCGATCAATAGAAAAAAATAGAAAAGATACTCGATCAATAGAAAAAATAGAAAAGATACTCGATCAATAGAGAAAAAGATAAAAAAGATACTCGATCAATAGAAAAAAATAGAAAAGATACTCGATCAGTAGAGAAAAAGATAAAAAAAAAACATACTCGATCAATAGAAAAAAATAGAAAGATACTCGACCAATAGAGAAAAAAAAATAGAAAAGATACTCGATCAATAGAGAAAAATAGAAAGGATACTAGATAAGTAGAGAAAATAAAAAGGATAATAGATAAATAGAGAGAAAATAAGAAAACTAGATAAATAGGGAAATATAAAAAGGATACTAGATAAGTAGAGAAAGAAAATACTCGATCAATAGAGAAAAATAAAAAGGATACTCGATCAATAGAGAGAAAAAAAAGAAAGATGAGAGAGAGTGAGAGAGAGAGAGGGGGGGGAGGAGACAGACAGAAAGAGAGAAACAGAAACAAAGACAGACAGACAGACAAACAGCCAGACAGACAGACAGACACAAAGAGGAAGAGACACACACACAAAAGAGGAGAGACAGACAAACAAACAGCCAGCCAGACAAACAGACAAATAGCTAGACAGACAGACAGACAGCCAGAAACAAAGACAAAGAGAGAGACAGACAAACAGCCAGCCAGACAGAGAGAAAAGGACAGACAGAAACAAAGACAAAGACAGAGAGAGACAGAGACAGAGAGAGAGACACAGAAACAAAGACAGCCAGACAGACAAACAGACAGACATCCTCCCTACCTGGCCTTCCACCATCTCCCTTCGCGCCCTTAGGGCCGGGCAGCCAGAGAGACAGATAGAAACAAAGACAGAGAGAGAGAAAGACAGAGACAGAAACAAAGACAGAGAGAGAGAGAGAGAGAGAGAGAGAGAGAGAGAGAGAGAGAGAAACAGAAACAAAGACAGAGACAGAGAGAGAGAGAGAAACAGAAACAAAGACAAAGAGAGAGAGAGAGAGAGAGAGAAACAGAAACAAAGACAAAGAGAGAGAAAAAGACAGACAGAAACAAAGACAAAGAGAGAGAGAGAGAGAGAGAAACAGAAACAAAGACAAAGAGAGAGAGAGAGAGAGAAACAGAAACAAAGACAAAGAGAGAGAGAGAGAGAGAGAAACAGAAACAAAGACAAAGAGAGAGAGAGACACACACAGAAACAAAGACAGCCAGACAGCCAGCCAGACAGACAGACATCCTCCCTACCTGGCCTTCCACCATCTCCCTTCGCGCCTTTAGGGCCGGGCACCCAGACAGACAGACAGAAACAAAGACAAAGACAGAGAGAGAGAGAAAAAAAAACAGAAACAAAGACAAAGACAAAGAGAGAGAGAGAAACAGAAACAAAGACAAAGAGAGAGAGAAAAACAGAAACAAAGACAAAGAGAGAGAGAGAAACAGAAACAAAGACAAAGAGAGAGAAAAAGACAGACAGAAACAAAGACAAAGAGAGAGAGAGAGAGAGAAACAGAAACAAAGACAGAGACAGAGAGAGAGAGAGAAACAGAAACAAAGACAAAGAGAGAGAGAGAGAGAGAGAGAAACAGAAACAAAGACAAAGAGAGAGAGAGACACACACACAGAAACAAAGACAGCCAGCCAGACAGCCAGCCAGACAGACAGACAGCCAGACAGACATCCTCCCTACCTGGCCTTCCACCATCTCCCTTCGCGCCCTTAGGGCCGGGCAGTCCCTCCCTTCCTGGATTTCCCGGCTGCCCTGGGCCACCGGGTACCCCCGGGGGGCCCCTACCTCCCGGAAGCCCGTCCAAACCATCCCGTCCTTTCGGGCCTGGGGGTCCCTGGGGGCCGGGGGGGCCGGGGGGTCCTCGCTCGCCGCCCTGGGGGGGTGAGGGGGATGGGTAGGGGGGGAAAAAGATAATGGATAAAATAAAATAAATATAAATGAATAGTATTATTTAATTAATTAATTATTGGATAAAATAAAATAAATGAAAATGAATAGTATTAATGAATGAATTAATTAATTATTGGATAAAATAAAATAAATGAAAATAAATAGTATTAATGAATGAATTACTTAATTATTGGATAAAATAAAATAAATGTAAATGAATAGTATTATTTAATTAATTAATTATTGGATAAAATAAAATCAATGAAAATGAATAGTATTAATGAATGAATTAATTAGTGGATAGTTAAAATAATGAATGAATTAATTAATTATTGGATAAAATAAAATAAATGAAAATGAATAGTATTAATGAATTAATTAATTGTTGGATAAAATAAAATAAATGAAAATAAATAATATTAATGAATGAATGAATTAATGAATGGATAAAAAATAAAAATAAATAAATACTATTATTTACTAAATAAATAATAATGTTTAATCAAATTTGATAGGAAAAAGAGATGAATGAAAATGGATAAAATAAAATAAATTATCTACTAAATAAATAAAAAAAATAAAGATAAGTAGTATTTTCTAATAATAATACTAAATAAATCGGATAAAAAATAAAAATAAATAAATACTATTATTTACTAAATAAATAATAATGTTTAATCAAATTTGATAGGAAAAAGAGATGAATGAAAATGGATAAAATAAAATAAATTATCTACTAAATAAATAAAAAAAATAAAGATAAGTAGTATTATATACTAAATAAATGAATAAGATAAATGGAAATAAATGAAGAAGATAAATAAGAATAAATGAATAAGATAAATGAAAATAAATGAAGAAGATAAATAAGAATAAATTAATGATATAAATGAAAATAAATGAAGAAGATAAATAAGAATAAATGAAGAAGATAAATGGAAATAAATGAATAAGATAAATGAAAATAAATGAATAAGATAAATGAAAATAAATGAAGAAGATAAATAAGAATAAATGAAGAAGATAAATGAAAATAAATGAAGAAGATAAATAAGAATAAATGAATAAGATAAATGGAAATAAATGAATAAGATAAATAAGAATAATTGAATAATATAAATGAAAATAAATGAATAAGATAAATAAGAATAAATGAATAAGATAAATGAAAATATATGAATAAGATAAATAAGAATAAATGAATAATATAAATGAAAATAAATGAATAATATAAATGAAAATAAATGAAGAAGATAAATAAAATAAATGAATAAGATAAATGAAAATAAATGAAGAAGATAAATGAAAATAAATGAATAAGATAAATGAAAATAAATGAAGAAGATAAATAAAATAAATGAATAAGATAAATGAAAATAAATGAAGAAGATAAATGAAAATAAATGAATAAGATAAATGAAAATAAATGAAGAAGATAAATAAAATAAATGAATAAGATAAATGAAAATAAATGAATAATATAAATGAAAATAAATGAAGAAGATAAATAAGAATAAATGAATAAGATAAATGAAAATAAATGAATAAGATAAATAAGAATAAATGAATAATATAAATGAAAATAAATGAAGAAGATAAATAAGAATAAATTAATAATATAAATGAAAATAAATGAAGAAGATAAATGAAAATAAATGAATAAGATAAATTAAAATAAATGAATAAGATAAATTAAAATAAATGAATGAGATAGATAAGAATAAATTAATGATATAAATGAAAATAAATGAATAAGATAAATGAAAATAAATAGTTTTATTATATACTTTTTTTATAATTACGTAATTATATTTTTTTTCATTCATTATATTTCTGTTCATTAAAAAAATAGACAAAATAATATATTAATAATTATGTAATTATACCAATTTGTGTTAAGAATATTGATAAAAATGAATATAAAATCATTGATAAAATAATAAAAAAAACATATATATTAATTATTTATATGCATTTTTTTCTATGATAAAAAAAAAAGTTGATAAAAGATAGAGATACATTTTAATGATTATATTTAATTTGATTAGAAAAAAATATTGAAAAGGATATTGAAAATTTTGATAACTTTATTCATCACAAAATTTTGACAAAAATGTTGATGTAGATTTTTTTTTTCTTTTTTTTTTTCTTAGCAAAAATATATGATTAAAAATATTAATAAATGTTGATAAAAAAAACTATAGATATTGATATAAATAAATTGATTAAAACATATATATTAAACCCTAAAACCTTCCCTTTAAAACTTTTCTCTAAAATCCTTAAAACCCCTAAAATCACGGAGAGACCAAAATCCCTAAAATTTCCCTTAAACAACTTAAAAGCTTCCCTAAAATCCCTGAAAACACCCCAAACCTTTCCCCAAAAATCCCCTGAAAAATTAAAACCTTCCCTAAAAAAAACCTAAAAACCTTAAAACCCCCTAAAACCCCTTAAAAACCCTAAAAACAACCCTAAAAAAGAAACCTCACCACAGAAGGGCCAGACGGTCCTCTGTCGCCCGGAGTTCCATCTCGCCCTGGCAGACCTGAAGTGCCCTTATCTCCCTAAAACCCCTTAAAACCTTCCCTAAAACCCCTTAAAACCCTAAAACCGCTTTAACCCTTCCTTAAAATCCCTAAAATCCCCTTAAAACCATCCTTAAAACCCTAAAAACCCTAAAAAAAAAGACATCTCACCACAGAAGGGCCAGGCGGTCCTCTATCGCCCGGAGTTCCGTCTCGCCCTGGCAGACCTGAAGTTCTATTCCCTAAGATCCCTAAAAAAAATCCCGCCTATTCCCTAAAATCCCCTAAAATCCCTTAAAATACCCTTAAAACCCCCAAAAAAACTTAAATCCCTAAAATCCCTAAAAATCCCCTTAAAACACTAAAATCCCTTAAACCCTTCCCTAAAATCCCCTTAAAACCATCCCTAAAATTCCCTAAAAAAAACTAAAAATCCCTAAAACCCCCTAAAAACCCTAAAAACCCAAAAAAAAGAAACCTCACCACAGAAGGGCCAGGCGGTCCTCTATCACCCGGAGTTCCGTCTCGCCCTGGCAGACCTGATGTGCCCTTATCTCCCTAAAACCCCTTAAAACCTTCCCTAAAACCCCTTAAAATCCCCTTAAAACCCTAAACCCGCTTAAACCCTTCCCTAAAATCCCCTTAATATACCCTTAAATGCCCTTAAAACCCTAAAACCCCTTAAAACCTTCCCTAACAAAAATAAAAAACCCTAAAATCCCCTAAAAACCATCCTTAAAACCCCTAAAACCCCTAAAAAAAACTGAAAAAAGACATCTCACCACAGAAGGGCCAGGCGGTCCTCTATCACCCGGAGTTCCATCTCGCCCTGGCAGACCTGAAGTGCCCTTATCACCCTAAAACCCCTTAAAACCTTCCCTAAAACCCCTTAAAATCCCCTGAAAACCCTAAAACCGCTTAAACCCTTCCCTAAAATCCCCTTAAAACCCCTAAAAATCCCCTTAAAACCCTAAAACCCCTTAAACCCTTCCCTAAAAAAAACTAAAACACCCTAAAATCCCCTAAAAACCATCCTTAAAACCCCTAAAACCCCTAAAAAAACTAAAAAAAAGACATCTCACCACAGAAGGGCCAGGCGGTCCTCTATCACCCGGAGTTCCATCTCGCCCTGGCAGACCTGAAGTGCCCTTATCACCCTAAAACCCCTTAAAACCTTCCCTAAAACCCCTTAAAATCCCCTGAAAACCCTAAAACCGCTTAAACCCTTCCCTAAAATCCCCTTAAAACCCCTAAAAATCCCCTTAAAACCCTAAAACCGCTTAAACCCTTCCCTAAAATCCCTTAAAATCCCCTTAAAATGCCCTTAAAACCCCTAAAACCCCTAAAAAAACTGAAAAAAGACATCTCACCACAGAAGGGCCAGGCGGTCCTCTATCACCCGGAGTTCCGTCTCGCCCTGGCAGACCTGAAGTGCCCTTATCACCCTTAAGACCTGGCAGTCCGTCCAGTCCGTCAGGTCCTCGGTCGCCCTTGAAGCCGTTCGGTCCTGGGGGGCCAGCGACGCCCTCTCGGCCCTGGGGGATGGGGGGGGTGGAAGGGAGAGGGAGGAGGAAGAGGAAGAGGGGAGAGAGGAGGGGGAGGAGGAGGGGGGAAGGGGGGAGGGGGAAAGGGAGGGAAAGGGGGAAGAGGGGATGGGAGGAGGGGGGGGGAGGAGAGGGGAGAGGGGGATGGGAGGAGGGAGGAGGGGGAGGAGAGGGGAAGGGAAGGGGAGAGGGGTGGGAGGAGAGGGAAGGTGGGGGGGGAGGGGAAAGGGAGGGAAAGGGGGAGGAGAGGGTAGGGGGGAAGGGAGGAGAGGGGAAAGGGAGGGAAAGGGGGAGGGGAGGAAAGGGGAGAGGGAAGGAAGGGAGGGAAGGTGGGGGGGGAGGGGAAAGGGGAAGGGAGGGAAAAGGGGGAGGAGAGAGAAAAAAGAAAGAAAAGAACAGGAAGAAAAAGAGGGAGAACGATGGAAGAAGAGAAGAGAGGAGAAGAGAAAAGAAAAAAAAGAAAAGGAGGAAGAAAGAGAAGAAGAAGAATAAGAAGAGGAAGATTGAAGAAGAGAAGAGAAAAGGAGAGAGGAAGAAGAGAGAGAAAAAAGGGTGGGGGGGGAGGGGGAGAAAAAAAAATTAAAATCTTTGTCGTGGATTAATGATTAATGTCTATCTATCTATCTATTGGCTAGTTATTCTCTATCTATCTATCTATCTATTACATATTCTCAAATACATAAACAAAGAAAGAAAACACTCGCTCTCTCTCTCTCTCTCTCTCTCTCTCTCTCTCTCTCTCTCTTTCTCTCTCGCTCTCTTTCTCATTCTCTCTCATTCTCTCTTCTCCTTCTCTCTCTCTCATTCTCTCCCTTTCTCTCCCTCTTTCTCTCTCTCATTCTCTCCTTTTCCTTCTCATTCTCTCCCTTTCTCTCATTCTCACCCTTTCTCTCTCCTCTCTCTCATTCTCTCTCTCTCATTCTCTCTCATCCTCTCTCTCTCTCTCTCATTCTCTCCCTTTCTCTCCCTTTATCTCCCTACCGGCGGTCCTGGATACCCTGGCAGTCCCTTTTCTCCCTTTCTTTCTCTCATTCTCTCCCTTTCTCTCATCCTCTCCTTTTCCTTCTCTCTCTCTCCCTCATTCTATCTCTCCCTCTCCTTTCTCCTCTCTCCCTTTCTCTCTATCTTCCATTTCACTTTCTCACCCTTCTCTCTCCTTCCTCTCATTCTCTTCTCATCTCATTCTCCTCTCCTCTCTCTCTCTCTCATTCTCTCCCTTTCTCTCCCTTTATCTCCCCTACCGGCGGTCCTGGATACCCTGGCAGTCCCTTTTCTCCCTTTCTTTCTCTCATTCTCTCCCTTTCTCTCAGCCTCTCCTTTTCCTTCTCTCTCTCTCCCTCATTCTATCTCTCCCTCTCCCTTTCTCCTTTCTCTCCCTTTCTCTCTCCTCTCTCTCTCATTCTCTCTCTCCCTTTCTCTCCCTCATTCTCTCCCTTTCTCTCCCTCATTCTCTCCCTTTCTCTTTCATTCTCTCTCTCTCTCTCTCTCATTCTCTCTCTCTCTCTCCCTTTATCTCCCTACCGGCGGTCCTGGATACCCTGGCAGTCCCTTTTCTCTCTCTCTCTCATACTCTCCCTTTCTCCCTTTCATTCTCTCCCTCTTTCTCTCTCCCTTTCTCTCCTCTCTCCCTCTCTCTCTCTCTCTCATTCTCTTTCATCCTCTCTCTCATTCTCTCATTCTCTCTCTCCCTTTATCTTTCATGCTTTCTCTCTTATTCTCTCCCTTTCTCCCTACCGGCGGTCCTGGATACCCTGGCAGTCCCTTTTCTCCCTTCGTGCCTCGAGGTCCTGGTAGGCCTCTGTCTCCCTCTTTCTCTCTCTCATTATCTCCCTTTCTCTCCCTCTTTCTCACTCATTCTCTCCCTCTTTCTCTCTCCCTTTCTCACTCATTCTTTCCCTTTATCTCCCTGTCTCTCCCTTTTTCTCTCTCTCTTTCATACTCTCTCATACTCTCCCTTTCTCTCTCTCTTTCATACTCTCTCATGCTCTCCCTTTCTCCCTTTCTCTCTCTCTCATTCTCTCCCTTTCTCTCCCTTTCTCCCTACCGGCGGTCCTGGATACCCTGGCAGTCCCTTTTCTCCCTTCGTGCCTCGAGGTCCTGGTAGGCCTCTGTCCCCTTGGGGTCCTTTGTCTCCCTTAGGGCCGGGCTGCCCTGGGATCCCTGGCTCGCCTGGTAGACCCTGGAGTGGGGGAGGGGGGAAGGGCAGGGGAAGGGAAGGGGAAGGGAGAAGTGGGGGGGGAGGGCAGGGGAAGGGAAGGGGAGGGGGGAAGTGGGGGGAAGGGGGTATGGGGGGAAGTGGGGGGAAGGGGGAAGGGGGGAAGTTGTGTATGGGGGGAGGGGGGGGAAGGGCAGGGGAAGGGAGAAGTGGGGGAAGTGGGTATGGGGGAAGAAGTGGGGGGGAAGGGGGACAGGGGGAAGGGGAAGTGGGTATGGGGGAGAAGTGGGGAAGGGGGGGAAGGGGAAGTGGGGAAGAAGTGGGGGGGGGAGTGGGAAGGGGGAAGGGAGGGGAAGGGGGTATGGGGAGAAGTGGGGAAGGGGGGGAAGGGGAAGTGGGTATGAGGGAGAAGGGGAAGGAGGGGGGAGGAGGGGGGTGTAGGAGAAGAAGAAAAAAAAGGGAGCGGAATTATGGATTAGTATAAATATAATGGATAATA